AGACCCCTATAAAAGGAAGTCGAGGCTGCCGAGTTCTGTTGCTCGTTTCTCTCATTCTCTCGCGTTTTTACCTCGTTTTGCGTGCAATAAATGTCCCGAAGCCCCGGTATCATTCCGAGACCCGAAGCAAGTCCCGAAGCCCCGAAGATCCCGAGAAGTAAAATTCCCGAGCCGAAGCTCTACCCGCGAGGAGCCCGGTTTTTGTGAAGATCTTCCAGATCTACCAAAGAATACTACTTCTACAAGCAGTAGTGTTGTCCGATCATCTTCTGATCAAAGTGAGTGTGTAGTTACTTTCTTCTAACGCATAATTATAAAGTATTTTATACGAAATACATGTTATGTGTATATTTTGTTGTTATATGTGTGAATGTATATTATCTTCCTTCTATCTCATAGATATGATTTACTCTCTATGAAATACGTGTTGTATGTATGTATTTCATCTGTTGTTTGGAATATGTATTGAATGAGAATGCTATACAGGTTTTAAACTATGTATAAAAATATATATTTTTATCTACTAATATGTTGGGTAGAACATGTGTATATAGTTAATGTGTGATAAACAAATGAGAGGCCTCGATGTTGTTTTTGATTCAGTCATCTAGTAGAGTTTAGATGACGACCACATACTTTTCTAGATAGTCATGTGGAACGCTAGCAAGCTCGCCACCTATAGGTGTTAATGAAATTAGGGTTTAGGGTTTAGGTTTTAGGGTTTAGGGTTTAGGGTATAGGGTTTAGGGTTTGGGGAATAGGGTTTGGGGTTTAGGGTTTAGGGTTTAGGGTTTAGGGTTTGGGGTTAGGGGTCGATTTTTAGCCGACGGGATCTAAATGAAAGTTGTAGTACTCGTAAATACCAATGTGTGGATATAAAGAACGTCGATAATAGAGCTCGTATGCGAAAGATATGGACGAAGCTTAGTCCCTACTTTTCGAGCGCGGCGAATTCGATACAGTTTTGTAAATCCGAGATAGAATGAGAATTAGCCAACGAGGTCTAAATGAAAGTTGAATATCTCATTAATAAGAACTCAAAGGTAAAAAGACAGACAAAAACGGAGCTCGTATGCAAAAGTTACGGACGAAGCTTGGAGACTACTTTACTATACACTTCCTATAAATACAAGGGTGAACTCCTCATATTTTCTTCACACCATAAGCCTCTCTTTCTCTCTCTAACTTCTCTCTAGCCTCCCTAAACCCCTCCCACGTCTACGGAACCTCCCTAGCACAAGAAGAAAGCCCCGGAGCGCCCGACGGCTCCGAGAAGAAAAGCTTTCGGCTTGGAAACGCTGCTCCAGCGAAGCCCAGTTTTTAATAAAAACTCGCTGTAAGTGAGCTACGCCTATACTATATTTAATATAGATTTTATTTAATTATAGTAACATTATTAGGACCTTAAAATAATTATTTGGGCTATTATTATGAGTTATATTGAGTGTTATTTAATGCTTATATAATAGTAATAATAGCTAGACTATTAATTAGTCGTGGTTAACGTTAAAAACTAAACCCTAGTGGTATTGATACTAGGTTTTGTCGAGGAAAATTGTTTTGAGATAACAAAGTGCTGTCTGAGTTCGGAATCACCACCTAATCAGGTGAGTGCATGGTCCCTTTCATCTTACATATAGATATGAAGTATTTATTATATAATTTACGTGTTGTGAGTGCATAGTCCCTTTCATCTTACACATAGATATGAAGTATTTTATATAAACTACGTGCTATGTGTGCATATTATCTGAATACTTGTTGTCTATGCTGGATGAACGTTTTATACATGTTTTAAAGGATTTAAACTGTATACATATTTTATATATACGAATATGTTGGGTATGATGATGGGTAGATAAATGATGAGAGATAGAAGATGACGTGAGTATACATTGGCAGCTATAGACTTAGTGCCTATGGGACAAACACCGGTAGCTATGGACTTAGTACCTGTTAGACGTTGGTAGCTATGGATTTAGTACCTGTTGGGAATTGGTAGCTATGGACTTAGTACCTATTAGTTAGACGCTGGTAGCTAAGGATTTAGTACCTGTTGAACATTGGTAGCTATGGACTTAGTACCTATTAGATAAAGACTGGTAGCTATGGATTTAGTACCCGATGAATAGACTATAGCAGCTATGGAATTAGTGCTTTATGAACGAACATTGGCAGCTATGGATTTAGTGCCAGTCCTAGAACCCTGGAAGTAAGGGACTTCGGAATAAACGAATGAAGGATAGATGACTCTTAGGTTAAATCCTTAAAGAGTAAAGAAGATAATGGGGATGGGTAATTGGGTTGATTGTTTGATTAAACATAATAATTATATTATTGTGGGTTGAAAACCCTATGTACTCACCAGGTTTCCCAACCTGACCCACTCAGTTTATTTACATCACAAGTGGCGATATGAAGTGACATTACACTGAGAGATTTAAAGAGATGTAGATCACTAGTGTAAATAATTGTAAGTTCTGTTTATGCTTATGTTTCTGTATTAACGATGACATCCCAAATGTTTTAAGATTAATAAAAATACGTTTCTTCGAAAATGTTTTAATAACGTATTTATCGTGTTTTTCTGGGAACAAATTCCGCAACCTTTTTATAAAATGAAGTACTCTGATTTTTATAAAGCATAAACAAAATCGGTCTTTTATGGCCGTGATTTTGGGGATGTCACAGTTTAGGGTTTAGGGTTTAGGGTTTCGGGTTTAGGGTTTAGGGTTTAGGTTTTAGTGTTTAGGGTTTAGGGTTTTAGGGTTTTAGGGTTTAGGGTTTAGGGTTTAGGGTTTAGGGTTTCGGGTTTCGGGTTTAGGGTTTAGGGTTTAGGGTTTAGGGTTTAGGGTTTAGGGTTTAGGGTTTAGGGTGTAGGGTTTAGGGTTTAGGGTTTAGGGTTTAGGGTTTAGGGTTTAGGGTTTAGGGTTTAGGGTTTAGGGTTTTTTTTTTTGGATAAAAGGGAAAAACCCCTTGGCAAATTTTATTGAAAAGAGAAAAAACAATACAAAGGAAAGAGGGCAGCCGCCCAAAAAAACTAACTACAAACCTAACAACACAGCTACAACCTAACAAAAAACAAAAGCAAAAAACCTAACTAATAAAGCCAACCAATCCACTTCCATGTCCAACTCCAAAGCAAGGAGTGGAACCAAAAATAACTTCCTAAGAAATAAACAACAAGAACAAAACCAAAAAACTTCCATCTCGCACAATCTTCAATATCTTCAATCTTCAAGAAGCTTTTAATCCTCCACCAAGTCAAACCCCAAAAATTGGCCTCATACTCAAACATATAATCCAAGGTTTGAATAATGCTAGTCTTCCAATACTTCCAAGGAGCTTCCAAATCAAGAGAATCATTGGCCAATTCACTCAAATCATCAATAGCTTTCAAAGTTCTCCTAATCAAACTAAAACCGAGAATAGCAACCAACTTTGAATTTTGAGCTTTACTCTTCATGTAATTCTTCCCAATCTTCTCCAAAATGTAATTATTAAACTTTTCCCCAATCTTTACTTTAAAATCCAAAAAACTCCAATAAATAATCCCATTAACCATCGCAAATTCCTTGAGACAATTCCTAAAAGAACCTTTTATGTCTTCCAAAAAACTTCCAATTTCCTCTATAGCTGAAAAAAGAGTCTTCAAATTCCAAGAAAGTATGATGCTAAAACCGGTATATCCCAACAAATCCCACCATTTCCAAATCATCTTCAATTTATATCCCACTTCTTTCTTGCTCAAACTAAGACAATTAGTCTTCAACAAATCTTGCAATATAATAATCCAAGTATTCCGAAAATGCCCTTGAAGAAAAACCCCTCCTCTAGCAATTAAGTAGCTCATAAACACAATTAAACCAAATTCCGCAAGGTTAAAAAAATCCAAATCGCCAACTTTCTCCTTAGGAATCAATCCAAAGATGCAAAACCCGTCAATTCCTTTTTTTATGGGAATATTCCGAAAATACCCCTGAAGGTTAATCCTTAAAAAATTAAGAATGAAACCTCCAAATTCCACATCAAAGGTAAAAAAACCAATGATAACCGGGATGGACCGGTCTGCATTAAATTTTTGGTAGAACCAAAGAGGATGTAAGATCCAAAAGTGGTTGTTTTTATGAGAACAAGGGAAACAACCAACCCAATTGTGGTACAGTCTACGGTTAACGTACCCAATCCAGTGTATTGACGGGTAAATATCCCACCACTTGCTAATCGAACTAGCAGTGGCACCCACTAAAGTGGAGATTCCTAGTTGCCCAGGAAGAAATTTCCAACTAACGGGGATCAAGCCCGTTTGCTTTAAAAAAATAGCCACTTCAAAGGAAAAAATTCCAATGAGATCTGGGATAGACCAGAAAGCAAATAACAAACAAAGGTCCATAAGACTCCAAATGTGGTTGTTTTTATGATTACAAAGGAAACAACCAACCTGTGCGTGGTACAGTCTAAGGTTAACGTACCCAATCCCGTGTATTGCCGGGTGAATATCCCACCACTTGCTAATCGAACTAGCAGTGGCACCCACATGAGTGGAGAATCCTAGTTGCCTAGGATGAAAACACCAACTAATGGGGATCAAACCCAATTGCAATAATAAAAAATCCACTTCAAAGGAAAAAATTCCAATGAAATCCGGGATAAACCGGATAGCAGTAACCATACATTTATACCATAAAACCTTAAAGTGGTTGGTTTTATAGTTACAAGGGAAACAACCAACCCATTTGTGGTACAGTTTAAGGAAAACGTACCCAATCCCTGGTATTGACGGGTAATTATCCCACCACTTGCTAATCGAACTAGCAGTGGCACCCACCAAAGTGGAGACTCCAAGTTGCCAAGGATGAAAACGACTTATAATGGGGATAAAACCCATTTGCAAAATGAAAACCACTTCTAAAGGAATAATCCTCAAGAAAATCGGGATAAAACCGATAAGCAACACAATTTTTAAAGGAAAATTGTTAAACCCAAAACCGTCAATTCCTTTAATCATCAAAATGATCTTGATTTTTCTCCCCCACAGGAACACCCCACTTCTTCTTGACAACATTATCAAACCCCAAGTAATCACCTTTGAGGCCAATAAGCTTCAAGCGAATTTCTTCAAAAATTTCTAACATAACTTTCGACTCTTCCGATTTGCCTTTCCTAAAAAGCCTTCGATTTCTTTCTCTCCAAATATAATACACTGAAGCAGCAAAAGCAATCTTCGTGATGAAAACAAGTATGCTTTTTCCTTTAAACTTTTCTTGAAGCTCTTCAATTAACTCTTTCCAGCCATGCGAGTCACTAATAATTCCTGTTTTGTCTTTCACAGCTTCCCAAACATGGTTAGAAAAGGAACATTCAAAGAACAGGTGAGAATGCGAATCAGGTTGTTTATTACAAAGGACACAATAGAGATTTTTATTTTTGTCCCAAAATCTCATTCTGTCCTGCGTCATAAGTCTTTCCTGAACAGCAAGCCAAAGAATAAAGCTATGCCTTGGAATTCTTTGTTTGAACCAAACCAAATGGACCCATGAAACTTCATTGCCAAAGTTCGAAAGATCATCACAAACTCTTTTTATGCTAAAATCAATTATTCTCCCAGAACTGCTCCTCCACATAACTTTATCAGGAATTGAAGGGTTAAGAAAAGGAAGTTGGAAGTTCCTTAATTGAGGGATAATATCACACCATTCATTCGGCCAGAACCAAGAATCATCAACTATGACGTCTCTAACCTTGTCCGAAATACTGAACCCAGCTTGCGAGATTTCCCTAGGAGATATAACATAAGAAAGAGGTCCCAGTGGATGCCAATCATCAAACCAAATAAAAGAGGAAGCACCATCTCCTATCTTATTACAAAAGTGATTTCTAACAGCATCCTTAAGCTTAATGAGATTCCGCCAGCTCCAACTTAGCCCATTCTTTTTCTCTATATCCCAAAAACTTCTTCCTTTTAAGAGATTAATCTTAACCCACTTAACCCACAAAGAATCAAAATCAGACAGAATCATCCAAATTCTTTTTGAGATAATAGCTTTATTCCACATTCTCAAACTTCTGATACCCAGACCTCCATTCACCACCGGCTTACATATAGAAGTCCAAGCCACTTTCGCTCTTCCTTTTTTTGATTCATCATGATTCCATAAAAAATTCTTCATCAACTTTTCAATGTCCTTTATGATGCTGATCGGAATAAGTATGCTGGAAGCCCAGAACACAGGCAACGACAAGAGGACCGAAGTAATAAGCTGAAGCCTGCCCGCATAAGACAGTTAATGCACTCTAAAAAATTCTTCCTCAATCAATTTGCTATTTCCCATAACTCGATCAAGCTTCTTCAAAATGCCATTCTTTCCACGTGGTTTTTGGTTCCAAGTGAAGTTCAACCCATTACTATTAATGTCTTGAAGTTCAAGACAGTTAATGCACTCTAAAAAATCCACCATGCCTTTAGAAAATCTAGACGACCCTGCTGTACTTTTAGTCAAGCTAAGGTGACATTAAAATCCCCTCCAATAACCCACGGATCATCTTTAACAAAAGCCTTTTGCTGCTTGATCGAATCCCATAAAACTTTCCTGTCAATATACTTATTGGCCGCATAAACAAAGGAACAAAAAACTGAATTATTGTTGTTTGGAAAACTAATTTTGCAATGCAAAACTTGATCATTTTGATCAATCAAATTAACATCAAAGAGATTAGAATTCCACCCAACAATAATTCGAATGGTATTTCCAGAAATGCCCTTATTAGCCATCCATTTCCAAGAACCAAAATTTTTATCACACTTCCCTTTAAGTTTACTTATACTAACTTGCGGCTCAAGGACAGCAAGTAAACTCAAATTATTCCTTTTAATTAAGCTAATTAACTCTTTTTGCTTAGGAGATTGGTTAAACCCCCTAATATTCCAAATTCCAAAGTTAAACGTCATTGGAAACAACTTCCATTTTGGTATCACACAAAGGGATACCTCCAATTACTTCCATTTGATCAACCGTATCCAGATAATCTAAATCAATATCAGCTATTCCTTTTTTCGAAATCCCGTATTGATTCTCCTCTTTCAATTCCATTAAGACATCAAATTTATTTTTAGAAACAAACTCCATGGTATCAACTTTTCTGATGTTCGAGTTTTCCTTGTCAAAATTTGAGCTGATCTTAATGTCCGGGCCAGATTTTGGAATATATTTCTGCACATTTCCTTCTTTTTTCCCCAACTCCACTTTTAAATTAGACTTTTGCTTATTTTTTTCCACTGAAATATCCCCCACAATATTCTCTTTTTTCACAAAAAAATTGCTTTTGCTGCTTTGCCCCTGTTCTAATTTTCCACCAAAAAAATTCCCATTCTTGCTATAATTTTTCCCATTATACCCCTGAACTGCTTTTCCTTTATTCCATTGATTCCCCCCATTATTATTCCCTAATTTCGAACCATTATTCCCTTTCTGCCCTTGACTTCCAGCATTGATACCATCCCCACTTTTTCCTTTTCCTTGATAATTCCCATTTTGCCCCTGAACTGAGACTTGATTCTTTTTTCCCATTTCCTCCTTGTCGTGTACTCCCATATTATTCCCCTTATTTCTTTTACTTACAAGTTGAAATCCTTCATTATCTTCTTCCACTTTTTTCGTACTAGCAATAAGAACCTCCATTAAATCAACTTTTTTCCCATCCTTATTTTCCCATTCCCAGTCGCAATGCTGCTGTCCTTTACTTCCTTAGCTAATAATATCCCACATTTAGAATCCGTGTGTCCATAAACTTTACAATGAGAACACTTAGAAGGATTCCAAGCATATTCTATCTTGCATTTGGAGAGAATCCTTTCACCTGTTGTTAAATCCGAGAATAGATGAGCACTTCTTTAAGCCACTCTTTAGCTGCTGACATTTCAATTAAGATTCTCATAAAATCCGGTCTTCCCCAATGTTCTTGGCACATTTTAGCAGTGTGAGCATCAACATCTAAAGGTTTTCCAATTTCCCAAGCTATATGGCTCAATCCTGTCCCATTCCAATACTCCAAGGGAACATTATATATCTTCACCCAAACAGGAATTTTATCATGTTGGTCTTTGACTGAACTAACACCTGTAGTCCATCTACGAATAATAAGAGCACTATCAAATATCATCCATACTCCCCCTTCCAGCACCGAGAGGAGACCTTGTTCTGAGCTGAATTGAAAAAGTAAATCCCTTCATCATTTACCATCACCTCTTCCAAGCCATATTTCTTCCACATATTGTGAGCAAACTTATTAACATTGAAAAAGTTAATATGTTTATCAATAAAATACCCATACAACGTTGTTTTAAAGGGGCTGCAGCCTTTAAGAATGTCACTTATAGGCATTTCCACAACACCTTCAGGAAGTTCAGCATTCTTTTTGACTTTAGAAATAAGATTTGCTGCATTCATTTTCTTTCCACTCACTTTTTCAGCATATGAGACTTTTCCTTCAATTTTTTCTTCCATAGAATTTTGCACAGGGATAATCTTCTCCTCTTTACCCTTGACATTACTAGCCTTCACTTCTTCCAGCATATCTTCGGTTATAAGAAGCCCGCCATTTGTATTATAACCTGTTGTTCTAATCTCTTCCTTATCATCTATATTCATTTGGCCCTCACTTTCCTCTTCATCAGTATCAACATACTTGTATTTGAATTCACCCTCATTAGCAAGTTCTAAATGATTAAACTTACTAGGAAAATGATAGATAATTTCATTACAGACTTGTTCAAGCTGTTGACTAACCATCTCATCAATTTCAAACTTCTTCTTTACCTTCTTCTCCTTGACCTGAGATCGCATAGAACATATGTCTTGAAGATCGACAATCACAGGGCTATTATTGTTCGAGATTGGAACTCCTTCAGGAATGAGATTTAACACAGTTTCACCCACTTTCTGCAATCCATCCGAGGCTTCAAAATCAGATGTCTTCTTCATATCAATAACAGCAGGAAACAAAGAAGCAGAGGGTTTAAATGGCACTTGGTTCTTCCTAAGATTGGCTTCCACCTGTTTTTTTATTTTGCTCGTACACAACTTATGAATCACCTTCTCCTTCTTCTTTTGATTGAGATCTTTCCAATTCATCAGAATATCATTTCTTTGGCTAACAGATGATAGCTTCTTAACATTATCTATAGAATCATCATAAGAAGAATCGAACTCACCTTCCTTGTTGTATTTTTTCTTGATAAACCTTAAGCCATGGACGAAGCCTTCCTTCTCGCTCAAAGTTAGTCCGTTCCAAAAAACCATCATGGCTTCCTTTTCTCCTGGACTACAAAATTGCGTGATGTCCTTTTCAAATTCGAGAACACGGGAACTCAAATCTTCAATTAAGACTTCTTCCTTCTTAATCGTAATGTAATTTACCAATGGAGCCAATTAGTGGAGCCATAGCATCAACTTCAGAACCATTTGAAGGCTTCGCAATCTCATTCCCGCTATTATCAATTTTATCAGCTGTAGCTTCGACTTTGAGCTCCGACGAATTTTTACGATCGATCAAATTAGCTTCAGATTCGAACTTATTAACGAGTGTGGTGACCGATTTAGCTTTCAATGGATCATTCAATTGATTAGATTCATTATCCAGAATAGATTTGAGCTTATTTTTCAACTTCGCATTTTTTCCTTTTTTTCTCATTATTACGTCGGGTTCCAAATCAGGTGGAACACCCTCCATAAATCGATCAACCAGTATCCTTAGATCAAGTAGGAGAAGACAAACAAATTGAGATCAAAATTGTTGCAAACAGTTGCCGGAGTGAAGATCGGTGCCGGAAAAACAGTTGGAAAACGAGGGAATCGCCAGAGAAGAGAGAGAAACAAAGAGAGAGAAATTTGGGGGTTTAGGGTTTAGGGTTTAGGGTTTAGGGTTTAGGGGTTTAGGGGTTTAGGGTTTAGGGTTTAGGGTTTATGGGTTTAGGGTTTAGGGTTTAGGGTTTAGGGTTTTTTTTTTTTTTTTTTTTTTTTTTTTTGGATAAAAGGGGAAAGACCCCTTGGCAAATTTATTGAAAAGAAAAACAATACAAGGGAAGAGGGCAACCGCCCAAAAACCTAACTACAAACCTAACAACAAACTACAAAACTAAAAACTAGACTAGAAAAAACACAAGCATATATCCCTATCTAAACAAAACCAACCGATCCACTTCCATGTCCAACTCCAACACAAGGAGTGAAACCAAACATAACTAGCTAGGAAATACACAATAAAATCAAAAACAACAACCTTCCAACTCACGAAATCTTCAAAATCTTCAATCTTCATATAGCTTCCAATTTTCCACCAAGTCAAACTCCAAAAGATGGCCTCATACTCAAACAAATAGTCCAAGGTTTGAAAAATGTTTGACTTCCAATGCTTCCAAGGAACTTCCAGATCAAGAGAATCATTGGCCAATTCATTCAAATCATCAATAGTTTGCAAATATCTCCACACCAAACTAAAACCAATAATAGCAATTAACTTTGAACTTTGAACTATACTCTTCTTGCAATTCTTCCCAATCTTCTCCACAATGTAATTGTTAAACTTCTTTCCAATCTTCACTTTAAAATCCAATAAGCTCCAATAGAGAATCTTCAAACCCCAAGAAAGTATGATGCTAAAACCATTATTTCCCAACAAATCCCACCATTTCCAAATCATCTTCAAATTGTCTTCAACTTCTTTCTTTCCCAAACTAAGCCAATTACTCTTCAACAAATCTTCCAATATAATAATCCAAGAATTCCAAAAATGCCCTTGGATAAAATCCCAGCCTCTAGCAAATAAATAGCTCATAAGCGCAAAAATACCACAATCCTCAAGATTAAAAAAATCTAAATTGCGAACTTTCTCCTTAGGAATCAATCCAACAACATGAAGCCCGTCAATTCCTTTTTTAATGAAGGTATTCCAAAAATACCCCTGAAGGTTAATCCTTAAAAAATTAAGAATAAAACCTCCAAATTCCACATCAAAGACTAAAAAGCCAATGATAACCGGGATGGACCGATTTGCATTAAAATTTTGGTAAAACCAAAGGGATTGTAATGTTCCAAAGTGGTTGTTTTTATGAGAACAAGGGAAACAACCAACCCAATTGTGGTACAGTCTAAGGTTAACGTACCCAATCCAGTGTATTGACGGGTAAATATCCCACCACTTGCTAATCGAACTAGCAGTGGCACCCACTAAAGTGGAGATTCCTAGTTGCCTAGGAAGAAATTTCCAACTAACGGGGATCAAACCGTTTTGCTTTAAAGAATTGACCACTTCAAAGGAAAGAATTCCAATGAAATCTGGGATAAACCAGACAGCAATAAGCAGAAAAGGATCCATAAGGCTCCAAATGTGGTTGTTTTTATGGTTACAAAGGAAACAACCAACCTGTAAGTGGTACAGTCTAAGGTTAACGTACCCAATCCCGTGTATTGTCGGGTGAATATCCCACCACTTGCTAATCGAACTAGCAGTGGCACCCACATAAGTGGAGAATCCTAGTTGCCTAGGATGAAAACACCAACTAATGGGGATCAAACCCAAATGCAATAAGAAATAATCCACTTCAAAGGAAAAAAATCCAATGAAATCCGGGATACACCGGATAGCAGTAGCCTTACACTTATGCCAGGAAATCATAAAGTGGTTGTTTTTATGGTTACAAGGGAAACAACCAACCCATTTGTGGTACAGTTTAAGGAGAACGTACCCAATCCTTGGTATTAACGGGTAATTATCCCACCACTTGCTAATCGAACTAGCATTGGCACCCACCAAAGTGGAGACTCCAAGTTGCCAAGGAGAAAAACAACTTATAATGGGGATAAAACCCATTTGCAAAAAGAAAACCACTTCAAAAGGAATAATCCTTAAGAAAATCGGGATAAAACCGATAAGAAAACCAATTTTTAAAGGAAAATTGTTAAACCCATACCCGTCAATTCCTTTAATCATCATAAAAATCTTGATTTTTCTCACCAATCGGAACACCCCACTTCCTTTTAACAACATTATCAAATCCCGAAAAAACACCTTTTAGACCAATAAGCTTTAATCGGATTTCTTCAACAATGTTCAAGGCAATTTTCCTCTCTTCGGTCTTTCCATTTCTAAACAGCCTGCAATTCCTCTCTCTCCAAATGAAATACACAGAAGCAGCAAAGGCAATCTTAGATATGAAAACTTGAATGCTTTTCCCTTTCAACAGACCTTGAAACTCTTCAATTAATGTTTCCCATCCTTGAGAATTACTAGTAATTCCCACTTTATCTTTCACCAGATTCCAGACAAGAGAAGAATACGAGCATTCAAAAAAGAGGTGATTATGCGAGTCAGGCTGCATATTACAAAAAACACACTTGAGATTCTTGTTTTTATCCCAAAATCTCATTCTATCCTGGGTCATCAATCTCTCCTGGATAGCAAGCCATAAAATGAAGCTGAGTCTAGGAATACATTGTTTGAACCAAACCAAATGGGCCCAAGGAACCTTCTGACCGCAGAAATTTAGGTCCCTCCAAACTTGATGAATATCAAATTCCACCACTTGACCATCCCTTTTTCTCCATAAAGTTCTGTCGGCCACCATAGGATCAAGAGTCGGCAATTGAAGATCTCTCAATTGAGGAATAAGAGTGATCCACTCTGACGGCCAGGACCAAGAATTGTCCACAATAACATCCTTGACTTTGTCAGTGATTCTGAATCCAGCATTAGTAATATCTCTAGGAGAAAGGACATGCGAAAAAGCACCCAACTGGTGCCAATCATCATACCACATAAAAGAATTTGCCCCATTCCCGAGCTTGGTAAAAAAATGATTTCTAAATTTGGTTCTCAATCCGATCAAGTTCCTCCAGCTCCAACTTAGGTCCTGTTTTTCCTTAACATCCCAAAAACTTCTACCCTTGAGAACATGAATGTTTATCCATTTAACCCACAAAGAGTCAAAGTTAGATAAAATCATCCATATTCTTTTAAATAGAATAGCTTTGTTCCAAACTCTAAGATTTCTGAGACCCAACCCCCCATTCTCAACAGGTTTACAAATGGAAGACCATGAAACTTTAGCTCTTCCCTTCTTGGATTCATCCTAGTCCCACAAAAAATTCTTCATCAGTTTCTCAATTTCCTTGGTAATAGAAGCCGGAATAAGCAAACAAGAAGCCCAATACACAGGAAGGGAGAATAAAACCGAAGATATGAGCTGAAGTCTTCCCGCATAAGAGAGATATTTGTTTCTCCAATCACCAATTCTACATCGGACTTTATCAACAAGTCTTTTGCAGTCACGTATGAACAATCTAGTAGAAATGAGAGGGATACCCAAATATCTCATTGGAAGTTTCCCTTCAACAAAGGGAAGAGTGTCAAGAATTTTCCTTTTAACATCAGCCTTGACGTTCCCAAAAAAAATATGGCTTTTAGAAAAATTTGGATGAAGGCCAGCAATTTTAGCAAATTCATCAAGGCTGTCTTTAATAACCCTGACCGAGGCTTTATTACCATGACAGAAGATCATTAGATCATCCGCAAAGCACAAGTGAGTGATTTTAAGATGCTTGCACTTCCAATGATACTTGAACAGAGGCTCATTCCTTATTCTTCTTTGAAAAATCAAATTGAAACTTTCCATCACCAAGGTAAAAAGATACGGAGATAATGGGCAGCCCTATCAGAGACCTCTTTTTCCATCAAAATAACCATGAAATGATCCATTCATACTAATCATGTATGAAGGGGAGCTAACACACTGCATGATCCATTTTATCATTACCGGATGAAATCCAAAATGAAAGAGGATATTTTGAAGAAATGACCAATTCACCATGTCATACGCTTTCTGGATATCAACTTTAAGGGCACATCTAGAATAACCTCGATCTCTGTGGTAACCCCTAACCAATTCTTGGGAAAGAAGGATATTGTCTGTAATGGATTTTCCCGGAATAAAGGCAGATTGGTTATCAGCAACAATAGATCCTAAATGATTTCTTACTCTTCCAACAATGATCTTACTGATGCATTTGTAAATAACAGAACAACATGAAATAGGTCTAAAGTCACTCACTTTCCCAGGAGAATTAACTTTAGGGACTAAAGCAATGACAGTAGAATTTATCTCCTTGAGGATTTTCCCATTAGCAAAAAATTCCTTGACAGCTAAACAAAAATCCTCTCCAATAATAGTCCACATAGATTTGAAAAACTTAGCCGAATACCCATCCGGACCAGGAGCTTTATCATCCTCTATGTCAAAAAGGGCAGCCTTAATTTCATCATTAGAAACAATCTTGACCATATCAACAGCATCACTAAGATCCAATTTTTTAATGAAAAGAGAATCAGGCTGATAAATTTCATCACAAGTCACCTCTTTTCCAAGAAAATCCTGAAAATAGTCAACAAACTCTTTATAAACAGCCTCCCCTTCCAGCCACTCTCCATGACAATTCATAACAGCTTCTATTCTGTTTTTATGCATTTTCCCTTTAACAATTCTGTGAAAAAATTTTGAATTGCTGTCACCCTCCTTTAGCCATTGAACTTTAGCTTTTTGCTTTAAGAAATTCTCTTCCTTATCATGAGCTTTTTTGAATTCTTCAAGAAAAATTGCCTCCAGATCGCGAAGATGAGAATTATACGGATCCATGTCCAATTCAACTTGAACCGCTTCCAGCTCTTTCCGGTAATGATTAACATTATCCGAAAAATGCCCCTGCATCTTTAAGAGTTTGCGAATTGGCTTTTTGAGATTTTTAAGCTTTTGCGTTAAAATAAACATTTTAACACCTTGAATATCAATGTTCCAGTGCCTTTCAACAATTAATTTCAGATCAGGACAGAGGGTAAGAACATTGGGGAATTTAAACGGAAGCACCTTAAATTTAGATCTTGAGGGAATTTTAATGATGACCGGACTATGATCAGAAATCCCGTAAGGAAGAAAAGAAGCACAAATAGAAGGAAATTGATCCAGAAGTTTGCAATTGCCCATGACACGATCAAGTTTCTTCATAATTCCATTTAATCCTTTCGGCTTTTGATTCCAAGTGAAATTCAATCCATTACAATTAATATCTTGAATTTCAAGAGAATTAATGCAATCATGAAATTCCACCATCCCTTTAGTAAATTTGGAAGATCCAGCGGAACTTTCACAAGGATTAAGTGTGACATTAAAATCACCACCAATAATCCAAGGATCTTCATTCACAAAAATTTTATGATGCACAAGAGAAAACCACAAAGCTCTTCTATCAATGTACTTATTGGCAGCATAAACAATGGAACAAAAGACAAATTTGTTGTTTGAAGGAAACCAAACTTTACAATGAATAACTTGATCATTATGATCAATCAAGTTAACATAAAAAAGAAGCGGATTCCATCCCAAAATAATGCGGTAAGTACGCCCTAAGTTCCCCTTAACAGCAGTCCACTTCCAATTCCCAAAGATTTTATCACACTTCTCATTAAGTTTATTCAAGCTAACTTGAGATTCAAGGATAGCTAATAAACTTAAATTATTTTCCTTAATAAAATTCTTTATTTCTTTTTGTTTAGGAGCCTGATTAAGACCCTAATATTCCAAATTCCAAAATTAAGCGACATTGGAAAACCCTTCCCTGTTGGTATCATCCAAAGGGATACCTCCTATAACTTCCATTTGATCAACATTATCCAAATAATCGAGATCAATATCTTGAATACTTTTCCTTGAATAATCCATTTGATTATCCACTTCCAAATCCTTCAAGACCTCAAATTTGTTGTTGGACAAAATAATCGCAGGATCTTGAATTTTTTCAACTTTTGGGCTTTTATCAAAGTTAGAACTAATCTTAAAATCATCTCTGGACTTTGGAACATACTTCAGCCCACTGCCAAAGTTTTTTCTTTTTTCCGAAAATAAATTCGGATCTTTATGAGCAGCCGAAACTTGCAAATTCCCCAGATCATTATTCCCACCTGTGCCAGCTCCAACATTAACATTTTTGCTCGAGAAATTAGAACTTTTACTATTTTCCCCTGTTCAAAATTATAACCAAAAGATCTACCATTCACACTTTGGTTCTTCCCATTTTGCCCCTGAATTCCTTTACCCTTAATCCATTGGTTGCCCCCATAACTATATCCATTTTTTTCAAAGTTATTCCCTTTTTGCCCCTGATTTCCAACCGAGTTTTTTTCTCCACTATTCCCTTTTTGCCCCTGACTTTCAGCAGTACTTTTAGCCGCATTCCTTCCATTGCCTTGGTTTTTCCAAGAATGCCCTTGAGAAACATTCTGATTTTTGATTCCATTTCCTTCCTTGATTTTTTCTCCAGTATTTATTCCCTTATTTCTTTTGACCACTGTTTGAAACCCATCTTTATCTTCTTCAACTTTTTTTGTGCTCACAATAAGAATTTCCATTAAATCAACTTTGTTGCCATCCTTATTATGTTCATCAGATTTAGAATTCACTGCATCATTGGCCTCCTTAGCAAGTAAAATTCCGCATGTACTATCTTTATGCCCATAAACCTTGCAATGAGAGCATTTGGAAGGATTCCAAGCATATTCAATTTTGCATCTTGACAGAATTCTTTCTCCTGTAGTAAGGTCCGACGAATATACATGAACTTCCTTTAGCCATTCCTTAGCAGCAGACATTTCAATCAGAATTCTCATAAAGGCCGGTCTTCCCCAATGCTCTTGACACATTTTTGCTGTATGAGCATCAACATCCAGTGGTTTTCCTATTTCCCAAGCAATATGACTCAGCCCTGTTCCATTCCAATATTCAAGAGGAACATTATATATTTTGACCCAAACTGGAACTTTGTCATGTTGATCTTTGGCCGAGCTCACACCAGTGGTCCATCTTCTAACGACAAGGGCACTGTCAAAAATCATCCAAACTCCTCCCTCTAACACAGAAATCATGCCTTGTTCAGTGCTAAATCTGAAAAAATAAATTCCTTCGTCATTCACCATTACTTCCTCTAATCCATGTTTTTTCCATGTGTTGTGAGCAAACTTGTTAACATTAAAAAAATTAACATGTTTGTCAATGAAATATCCATAAAGGGTGGTCTTAAAGGGGCTGCAGCCTTTAAGGATATCACAAATTGGCATTTCCACCACTCCATCAGGTAATTCCGCATTCTTCTTAACCTTAGAAATAAGGTTTGCTGCATTAAGCTTCTTCCCACTAACTTTTTCAGCACATGACACAGGTTCATTTGTTTTTAATTCATCCAAAGCCATTATGGGAGCATTCATATTCACCTTGTTCTTTATCTCCCCATTCTTCATTTGTTCCAGCATGTTTTCAGTGATGAGAAGCCCTCCATTACTATTTCGAATACTTCCTTTCTTATCCTCATCTTCATCAACCGTCATTTGGACATTAATGCCCTTGTCATCCGGATCATCATAGTTGAAATTAAACTCTCCTTTTTTTTCAATTTCAATATGATTGAACTTGATAGGGAAGTGAAAAATAATCTCATTACATACTTGTTCTAGTTGTCTACTCACCATTTCATCAATTTCAATTTTTCCTTTTTCTTTTCTTTTCCTTAACCACAGATTGCAGAGAACAGATTTCTTGAAGATCAACACTCACTGGCTCATTTAAATTCAGCTTTGGATCCCCTTCAGGGAAAAGCTTAATCACAGTTTCACCAACTTTTTGAAGACCATTAGAAGCTTCAAGTTCCGAAGAGATTTTCATATTAACCGAAGAAGGGAACAGAGAAGAAGAAGTTTTGATTGGAATTCGGTTCTTCCCAAAATTTGCTTCAGCCAATTTTTTAACTTTGCTAGTGCAAAGTTTACGAATTATTTTTTCTTTTTTCTTATCGGGCAAGTCTTTCCAATTCAGCAGCATCTCGTTCCTTTGACTGACCAAGGAGATCTTCTTAACATCATCAATAGCATCCACCTTGTCTTCATCAGCTTCTATTCCATTATTGTATTTCTTCTTCGTGAATCTCAATCCATGAACAAATCCTTCTTTTTCATTTACAGATAATCCATTCCAAAAAGC